TGAACAAGTGTGCAAGCAGTCGGCTGATCAAATGAAACCTGATTAGCGGAAAAATTGGAAAAGGGGGAAAATAGGAAAAACTATATACCTATCCAGCATCCAACTTAAAGATCATTATATAAAACATCGATCATTTCTTTGCATAAAAAAATGTGAACCAGTTTAATTTCGATCGAATCAAATAATAATTGTCTTTGGCATGTACAAAATCAAACGGATGAATTTAAAACTATTTGTCACATGATTAAACTCGGCTCGCAACTCAAAACTATGATACATATGTAATAATTTTAAAAGGTTCTGTCGTCAATGAGTTGAGAATAAACCAAATATAAACCAAACATAAAAATTTACAAAATTAGAGACTAAACACAACAAGTTTCTTCCAGTCGAAAGCGATAATGAAAAAATAATCTCACAATATACTCCAATTAATATTCAGAAACGTCAAAAACACGGGCATGATATATGAAATAAAATACTACACTCGCACAATTATTTATAATTTCACTAATAATCCCATTTCTGGGCTGCATAATTATAATACTACACACACACACATACCACAGACACAAACACATTGGTGTCAAATGTAAACTTGGGAAACATTTGGAGTTAGGCAAAATAACTGATATATGTGAAAACGCAACTTTATGTTAATGAATAATCGTTCGTCTTTTGTCTAAACATGGAAATCGGCAAAATAGTCAAGCGTAATACAAAACTCATTCTTGTAGAGAAAAACCTAACAAACATTTCTTAAACATGTACATTGGCTTAAAATGTTATGGCTGAAAATGGAGGTTCGCTCAAGCAAACTTACTCTTAAGCCAGTACTTGACAATATATCTTATAACATATCATCTTTCAGTGGTTTTACAAAAAGAGTCATTGACGGCAAAGACATGACACTATAAACACAATTAAACTCTCAAAACTGCACCAAATGGAAAAGAAATATTGAAATAATAATAAAAATATTGATAATAATATTAATATAAAAAATGCTGTTACAAATAGAATTAAAATAAGTACAATAATCGTAATAAAATATTGGTTCTCCGTGTTATCTGCTTGCATGCTCCGTGTACAGAAAAATGAACTTAATTCAGCTGCCAAACTTAAAAAATAAACTGTTGAAATATTAAGTCGATATATTAGCATAAAATCAATTAAGAGTAGTTAAAAGCAATAAAATTGAACGAGAATAAAATTTAAATCGCATAACTGAGAAAAATTAATGAAACACTACCTATGCGTAATACTGCAATGCAGACTTTAAAAATGACTCTAACTGAAAGTAAAAAAACTTGTAAACGCCAAAGAAAGTCAAGTATTTGTGCAAAAATTTTGTGACTGGATTAATGAATAGTCGCAAAATTAAAAATTAAACTAAGTAATCATGGAAAAAACAATGTGTTGAAAAGTTCATATAACGATATAAAATATCAAAAATATCTGTAACAGAGTCATTAACGTATGTACATTGATTAATATTACAAATTATGTTAAACTACATTTTAAAGATAGGAAAATGCTTACTGCCTGGTTGCAGATACAGACGCACGCTTCGAAAACTCCATGCATTTAAAAATACGTTTGAGTATCAAAAATTAATGCAACTCAATGCGTGAAAATCATAACCAACTCATACAATATTCAAGAAACATATCCAGAAATACAACGAACAGAATAATATATTAAAAAAATATTATAACAATAAGGACTGCTAGGTAGTATCTCATATTATAGGCAATAAAGAAATGGACTGATAAGCTGTTAAGGTAACCGGTGGCGATGTCTAGGCATACAACTTCCTTATATCATCCTTGTAGTAGCTCTCAATGAATTTTCTCTTCAGTTTGAAGGCCTCCGTCACGAATCCAGCGTCAGTTGTCCACAGTTCTTTCACCAATTTGATTCTTGTGGGAGTCTCAAATTTTTCAAGTTTTCCTGAATGGTATCACCCATCAACATCCAATATTATACGTATTCATAAAAACATTTGTCGGATGGCAATATATGAAAACACGCCTTAAATGCAGCTCTAAGCACCAAAATGAAATGTTTAAAAGAAAAAATTTATATTAACCTTGTGCGGCCACCTCTTTCAGATTTTTAAAAACTGCCTCAACTATTCTTTCATCGTCGAAGATCTTTCTAATGTCTCCACCATTGAGAATTAGTCCCAATTCAGAAGCCAGTTGAATCAAGTTCTTCCTGTAAGGCAGGATGAGAGCAACAGTGTGGTTCTTCAGTGGGTCAGCACACAGGCAGATGTTGTCAACGTAAGGACTCAGGTTCAAAACTGTTTCAACTTTTCCAAGAGAGACGTACTCACCTGCCTGTAGTTTCACCAAATCTTTCTTTCTATCTGTGTTTCAATTAGAAACGTTGATTAGTAATCATATGCACAATATGGAACAATATGTAATTAATTATCTGAATATGTTTTGGAATATTTAAAAGTTGAAACTCATTATAGACGCAGTTTCACCAAATCTTTCTTTCTATCTGTGTTTCAATTAGAAACGTTGATTAGTAATCATATGCACAATATGGAACAATATGTAATTAATTATCTGAATATGTTTTGGAATATTTAAAAGTTGAAACTCATTATAGAAGAATGAAAGAGTTGAGTGCAATTCTGTAAAGTTTAACAAGATTAACAAAACGTTTACTGTGAGAACCATCTTTTTTGTGTCAAATTGGTTTTTTATAACAAATTTTTAGTCGTAATTGCTTAGTTAAGAAAGGTATTTTTGAAAACTTTAGATAGAATTATATTGCATAGCAAAAACAGCGCTATCTCTAATTTAATTTCAAAAATTCAACAGAAGGCCTTTGTAGATGAATTTGCAAAATTCTAATCCAACTTTACAAATAATATAAAATCCAAAGTACATCAACGGACCGATAATTCTCAGGCATCCGTCCGACTCAAACAATCCAATGTCTCCAGTCGCAAACCATCGTTGTCCATCAATCACTTTGAAACTTTCGGCTGTTTTCTCAGGGTTCTTGTAGTATCCCATTGATATCATCGCTCCGCTTATCCATATCTCGCCACGAGGGTTGGGCTTATCCATCGGAGAATATCCACCTTGAATGTCGTAGTTAATTACTTCAATGTCAAGTGCAATTCAAAAATCTTTCTCTCTTTAATAATTTTACATGTGAACGATAATAAATACTGTATGGCAAAGACTAACAAAATAAACTTGTAAAATGAAATTAAGAATGTGGAATGACCTTCAGGCCATTCAACTAATTTGATTTCGCAGGAAAGCAACGGACGACCAACTCGGCCTGCTGTACGTTCATAAACTGAAATGAAAATATTTAAAGCAATTTAGACATTTAATTTTCAAAATTTTACGTTGCACGTCAATGAAGTTTTTACATAAAGCTAAATTTTTATTTAATAGTGAGGAATGCATAGAACAATTTGCGTAAAAATTATTAATTTAATATTAGATAAAATACAAGAGAAGTGAACGAACGTGGTTGAATGGAGCCAACACCACAAGTCTCAGTGAGACCGTATCCTTGAAGCACTGGACAGCAGAAACAGATGTTCATGAACTCTTGCGTTGTATCAGAGATTGGGGCACCTCCAGAAACCATCAACCGCAACTTGTCACCAACCGAACTCTTCAGCTTCTTGAAGACCAACCTGCATACATTAACATGTCCTTGCAAATTTATGAATCGCAGTTCACCGCGATCAACATCATACATTTTATTTTTTCAATTCTTTGCAATGTCAAATGCAGAACTGCTTAAATTTAATTTTAAACTTATAATTGAACTTTCATGCAGCAAAAGCTATACTCTCCACACCAAACTACGCACATACACACTTTGGTTGCACACTCGAGCACCGCATCATACGCTTAATACAGTTTCGGACAGTATTCGAATCAAGCCATCGCATAATAACGGTGCGAAAAATACCATTTCTAATGACTGAGCTAACACGGTGACAAGTTAATATATATATATATATATATATATATATATATATATATATATATATATATATATGACTATATGATATATACCTATCAATTAATGGGGTTTGATAGCCTGCTCGGTACCACTTTCTCTTGTAGTTGTAAATAAATTTGAAAAAGAGTTTCTGAAATTCATTTCCTTGGTTCACTTTGTCCCAAACTGCTTTGTACATACGATCCATTATAACCTGTTTTGTTGTTGTCAATTAAACGTACATACGCATATAAACGTGAACAGATATTTCCAATAAACAATTCTAACTGCAAATAATTTGAATAAAATCATGAACAGGAGAAGAGGAAAAGGACACTAACAGGCACGATGGCGATGAGTGTGGGCTGCAGGACGGATACGTCACCTCTGTTTCCCTTCTTTATTTTGGAAGACTGCCAAACAATTCATCATTTAATAAGAAATTAATAAAAAAAAATTTCATATATTCCGTCAATGCTAAAAAGTTGACTGGCTCAAAGGCATGTTAATGATAAGCAACAAACAAATACATTTTTAAATTTTCTCAAAATAATTTGAAAGTTATTTGATAGTTATTTGAACGTTCGTTGAGGCCGTTATGGACGTGTGAGGTTATACGCGTTCAATATTATTTCTAACTGTTAATCTGATCGCATACAAATCAAGTTTCAAACTCCAAATGAAATAAAAATTTTTTTTTAATGTAACTTTATTGCAGAATGTGCCCTTAGTAAAATAATATGCATGCTTGCGTGTGATTGAATATGTTTACAATTTTAGAACATATTGACGTTGAAAATATTTAATAATTTAAATTTTTAAAATACACATATTTCATTTTTCTATTGAAACATTTATTAAAATTAAAATTTATGGATTAAATATTTGAAGTCATTAAAAGAGATGATGTGGCTGAAAAATGGACCGCAATAACACAATAGGAACTTTAATCTTTCGCACGCAAAGTTGGGATAAAGTTCATAATGAAATTAAGTACATTTCGCTTGCATGGCGTGATGCACTTAAACTAGCCATTAAAACTATTCATAACAATTTGTTCATAATTTAATCGAAAAACAAAACTCTATTACAGCACACATCCTAGAGTATGATGAGAATACTATAAATGAGCTGAAAAATTTCTAAGTGCAACAATTGAGTTTTTAAGCGAAGTGATAGTGCTTTCCAGTAAGTTAGATAGTGACTGGTCGTTAAGGACGGGTGAAGTTGTACGATTCTGAAGATGGAAGTTTATTTATGGTCAGATGATTGATTACAAGTTTGAAGATAATGCACTGATGAAGATATAACGTGGAATAGATGTGACAAAAAGATGATTTTGTTAAAAGGCAATTGAAGAAGTGGGAGAAGGAATCTGGAATTAGTTGGATAAAATAAATTAAGTACCAGTCAACGTAATCAACAATCTTATAATTACCATCCTAATCGTTAAATACAAATACGGAATGTGGCTAAAAGGCCTTCACAAAAACTAAATTGACATGTTCAAGTGGTTCAAAATAAATGAAACAACTGAATAAAGCAACCGAGCATCAAATAAAGCCCGAAACCTTACAGAGATGGGCGGTATGTATTAAATGCTGCACGGCACATCTACCTCAGACGACGAAAAGATGGTATCAAACAAGATACAAAACTGACAAAAAAAAAACATTTCTAAATCTCAACAAAAATTCTGCTGAAATGCTTTTACATATAATACAATACTGTAACTTTTAAAAATAATTAAAAATTATTTACATTTATAAAAGAAAACAGGTTAAAGTTCGCAAGATGGAAACGTTATCAAGCCCCTATTCACACAGTACACCAGCCGTCTTATTGCATCAGTAATGATGAAATTCAATCATTAAACACGCACACACGCACACAAACACAAACATACGTGTTCACATATATATATACACAAACACATTTATGACTTGGACTGAGAAGCACGTGCTTGCTCAGCCATTTGTACATGTCTGTACTAAGTAGCCTGTCATGAGGACAGCAACATACAAACTTAGCATGCACTTTGAAGCGGCGTGATGAGACGATAGATTTACGATTGCCAAAGTAATAGGATGTCATGTCATGAATCTAGTATGATGTGAAAATGAATGATGACGCAATGTAGAGCTGGAGCTTTTAACCTTACATAAAAATTTATCTATGTCTTCTTTTTTTATGTCATAAGTTTAAAATCTAACCATCAATAAAAAAAACATTTTAAACAACTATTTTTATATTAATTTGCTAAAAAATTATTATTCGCCTTTTCACCAATAAAAATACTTTGAATAAAATTTTATAAAATTTACATTCAAAAACATACCTTATGCGTGATGCAAAAATAAAATTAACAAAATATAATTAAACATTTTTTTGAAGAGGTAACAATTCTGTCGTGTCGATTCGGCCTCAAAATATCAAACTAGACGACATGCATACTTCGTGAGACGATGGTTATGCAATATATCCGGAGTGAAATAACTAAAAGGCAAAGCCAACAAACACTCCTGAAAAATTCGGTGTCAAAGTAACTAACACAGGCAAGTAGGCAGATGCCATTAAATTAATTTGACCCAATTAACCTGTGAGTATGATTTGCACGTGCGTGTGCATGCTCATCAATCAAATTTGTGTCACTGGTTTTTACAACTACTAGGTCAAAAAATAGTTCTCTAGGTTCAAATTTTTAATGATGACGTTGAACTCAATTCAACTAAAAACCTTGAAGTGGCGTTATTACCTCGCTAATGAGACTCATTACATTAATGCCAGAAAAATAACATAATGGTGTTTAACGATTATGAAGTTTGAAAAAATTTCTAACACAAGAAATTCAACACAACTAAAAACATGAATAAAACCGTAAAATTGTGTTTGAATAAAATGTAACGCTTGCACCCAATGTTTGAAATAACTTTTTTAAAATATACAATTGCAAATATTGAAATAAGGAAGCAACCTGGTCGTTGAGCGTGTTGGGAGATGAGTAACCAATGTGGACGCCTGCAAAAAAACTGGACATCTCAGCACTGAGTTCAAGCATGTGGGCCAGTGGCAGGTAGGCAACTATGGTGTCCAAAGGACTTTAATGGCAAATGTTTTATTGAAATTAATTGAACTGCATTCAATTTTGGGGATAGATGTAACGACAATTGAGTATTTTAATGAACGGATAAATTCAAGAAAATAAAAACAAGGCAAAGGAAGAAGTGCGAACTTTAAATTTCCAAGAGCGTGTATAAAGGCAGCCATACTGCAGCAGATGTTTCTATGAGATATTAACACACCTAGGATATTTAGAGAATAATTTTACATATTAATTATATTGAGTATAAATTGAACTAAATCATATATATTATTAATTAAAATTTAGGATTACATACATTGAAAATTAAACATTCTATTTATAAACATTATAATGAAAACTGACGAAACAATACAAGTTTGTAAGAGAGGACACTTCCACTTCCAGGCATATTAAATTCCCCAATCACATTCTATTATACCATTATTATTATATTTTATTATTCTCGAGACTTTGTTCATAGTTTGAAACGATAAGGAATTGACTAGAGATGGCGTAACTAATGCATACAAAAAAACCAAATCCGTTATATAATAGATATATAAAATATGGTTCACACCTACATAAATACATACAAATACATATACAAGTACATGCATGCAGACGACACGTGCGAAAATTGATCTGTGAATTAAGAACCTTTAGGCTGGCCGGTGGAACCGCTAGTGTACATTATGATTGCCAAGTCATCTGGCTTTGGACGACGACTTTTGATTAGAGCTGGTAACATATGTTAATGAAAAATTTTAATTACTTTTTCTTCCAAATCATTTTGCAAAAACTCATAAAATTTTAGGCAGATGTTCACTGTACTTGATTTGAGACTTGACTTTGAACCGTTGTCCATAACTCTAGACCATGGTAAAACTTGTACTTGGGAGCCTTCAAATGATGTCAAAGCTGGTTTCTTGTTATGGTTCAGGAAGAAATCATCAATGAAAATTATGTACTTCAAGCTTGGCAAATCTTTTACAACATTCTGCAGGGAAATTTTCAAAATTATCAAAATTTGTCTGGTTTAGCTAGAAAACTTTCTTTTTAAATTAATCAATCCATCCATCCACTCATCCATCCATCATTTTGCCAACCAATCCACTCAACAACCTTGAACTTGTTGATTCCATCAGCAGTAGTGATGAGTATGCTGGCCTCAGTTTCATTCAGACCATGTTTGATTGCATCTTCTCCGAGTGTCGGATACAACGTAGTCACTGGTTGTCATTGGTCATCATTCATTAGCTCATTTACTCTTATAATAATTTTGAATAATACGGAAATGAATTCAATGCAACTACAAAAAAAATTGATTCTAACATGGCACATTATACTTGAAACATGCAAAGGCAGAAATGAGCCAGCCAGCACAGGTGTCTGCAAATATGCAAACAGTTGAACTTGGATCCAATTGAACCAGACCACAGCCAAAGTCCTCAACCAGAGTTTGGACACGTTTGTATGTCAACCATTTATAATCACCATAAATGGCCTGCAACCCAAAAAAATCATTTATAAATTCTAGATTATAACAAATAAAATTTTAATGTGAAAAATCTTAGTAAAAAATAAAACGCAGTTACTTTGCTGAAAAATTTTCCATTTGGTTGTTTTTCTTCCTCCTCATAGAGCAACTCCCTGGTACCCAAGGTCTCAACATCAGCAAACTTCTTGACAGCGTAGTCAAACAAATCTGTAATGGTTCTACAATCTGGCACTGGAGTTGTCAACAATCCGTCATACACTTCCAATGATCTATAGGGACTGCTTGAGTCATTTTCCACCAAAGGCTTAGCCTGAAAGTTTTTGTTGAGGATAACTAGCATTGAAAATCAAAATAGTTGTTCAATAATTTATTTTTATAAAAAAAAATAAATAAAATTACCAACCTTTGCCTGTTTGGTCTTTGTCATAATTTCAGCATGGTTGTCAAAAAAGTAATAGGGAATGAAGAGGATTGCATCAAATAAGTACGATAAGACTTCAAGTGTTATCGACAAAACGTTAACTAACAAGGCCAGCATGATGATTTAATCAGGTTACTAAACTTTATCAAACTTCTGTTTCATTTACTAATAAAATTAGTTAAAATTAACAAAAATGCTCAGTATGTATCTGGTAACAAATCAGTCCTAATTAAACAAATTTTTAAACTTCAACTGTTTCTGTGTATATCTTCTTTACTTGAAATTTCTGTCGAAAAATAAGTTTGCATCCTTATATACAGTGCCAAACCATTAAAAAGAAGTTTCAGATGGGTAAGGTTAACAAACTATATATATAAGAAGACACTTAAACTCATTAAGAATTTAAATGCATAGTTATTAATACATACTATAAATATAAATTTACAACATATAACATAAAATTTATTATCATTATTGTTAGCATCATCAAACAAAATGAAGAATATTAATAAATGCCATAATATAAATATATATAATAATAAATAAATAAATAGTATAATATGAAAAAATTACTATTATCACATGCATGTGCATATTATTATATACAAGTACACACACGCGCACACACACACACGCACACACAAATCACAAATATTAAAAATTCATTCATTGATAGCATGGACTGAAGAAGGTCACCCCATCATCAGCCATTACATTACAATTGCATGGGTGGTAATCTTTTTTTTCAAAATTAACACAATGTAACTTGTAACAAGAAAAAAATGTGCATATGATTTTTTATATTTACACATTTATTTTAGAAAACTTTCTTCTTGAATTATCTTACATATTTTATTATTTTGTCACTCAAAAAGCTTGAAAAATCCACAATTACACTTAATTGACGGCCAAACAAAAAAAGCCAACACGAACAAAGCAAACTAACGCGCAATACAAATATGAAAATATAATGAAGAAAACTGAATATAAGAACGTTCATGTCCATGTTCATGCACGGCAAAAACGTTGAAGTCAAAATAAATCTAAATCGCGTAAACTCGTTGACAACCTTTAATTTTACTTGCATAATAATTTGATAATCACAAACAATCAAGAAATGTCAAAATTGATCAGAAAAACTTACGAATAAGCATTCTTCTACGCAACTTCTTTTGTCTGCATCAGCCGACTGACTGATCACCCTACACATATATGATGGTAAACAAGAAAAACTTTGTCCATATGGTTCGACGGTCCATTAGTTCAGAGATGTAACAACATTTCATTTGTCGGTATATCTGTTATCCTAAGATTAAATTTATGCTTATAATGAATTTAATTACGTATTATATGTATATAAATATATATTACAAGATCTTATTATACACCATTTTATCGGGCGGGCAGTGCGATGGGGCAATGCCTAAGACCAATCAAGCTCGAAAAATTGACTTGAGAGTCAAGACCTTTCTTATTTTACGTTTAATAAAATAATTTATTAAGCATTGTATTAAATTCAACAAAACGTATTCTTTTAACATTCATTCTTTAAGAAAAAAACATGTGTGTATATACTGCATTAAACAATGAGAAGAAGCCCAGTGAAGCTAATTGATCATGTTAAAATGATAAACATATTTAGAAAATGCCACCCTACGTAAAATTCTTTATTATTTTAAGTTATGGACTCTACTAAACAAGTCTAACTGATTTTACAAATGTTTTGTAAACAAAAAGTTCATTTTTTAAGTTATATTAACAATTCTTACAAAATGATATATGCATGCACAAGGCAATTCACAAAAGTGACAAAAATTATATCAGTAATTATGTGCAGTAATTAATTATGTACGCAAAATTTTTATCCAACAAAGCTCCTGTAGTAAAACGCGTGAAAATTTCTGCAATAAAACAATAAAGCACTACTCAATCAATCAATCTTTATCAAAACATAAAGAAATGTAGAAGTCATCACAAAACTTTATCTACCCGTCAGATGTGTATTAAAGCTTCACAAAGCATTACAAGTTTTGCCAGACACGATTTCCAAGACGCAAGATTAAACGCAAGACAACATATCAACGCACTAACTGGTGTAAATATTTATAACGTGAAGGCAGCTCAAAAAATATATATTCCATAAAAATAAATGAGCCTGCATCTAATCATATCTAGCTGTAAAAAATTAAATCAAGTTTTAGTACGAACATGATAAAATGTAAAAAAAATGAAAGAATGCTGTTAACAATTACTGCTGAGTCACGCACAACATCAAAGTACATCGCTTCATATCAGTAATATAAAAACATATTTTAAACAAACAAAATCAAGAATTTAAAAATAATAAAAAAAGCTATAAACACAACTACGTTGCAAAGTACCAAAACTCGCTATTTTAAATAATTTTGAATAATTGAAAAACACAATTAATTAAGTATGTGCGTTGTATGAGCAAAAATAAATCATGATCTTTATGAATAAAATAAACAAAATTAATTATAGGCGTTCAATTTCAGTTGATTATAAACAACTTAAAATGAAAACAACGAAGCAAGTAAATGAAAAACAACGGCTGCCACGTATGTCCACAAAACAGTTAGGCATACAACTGCTTGATATCTTCCTTGTGGAAGGTTTCAATAAACTTTCTCTTCAGTTTGTAAGCCTCAGTTACAAATCCTCCATCAGTTGTCCACAGCTCTTTTACCAATTTAATTCGAGTTGGAATCTCAAATTTCTCAAGCTTTCCTGGAAGCAAATTTTAAGATGTGTGTGTATTTAGTTTACAATCAGAATATTTAAATAATTTTATTACTAATTTTATTAACACAGTCAAACTCAAACAACAAAAAAAAACCTTAGCACACTTTTTAAAAAGTCATCAAAAGCTTCAAGTTACAAAACAAACCTGCTGCAGCTACTTCCTGGATATTTTTAAACACTGCATCAACTATTTCCTTCCTGTCAAACAGATCCAAACCTTGTTCATCTGTTGTTTCGATGCCCAACTTGGAAGCCAGTTGAATTAAGTTCTTCCTGTAAGGCAGGATGAGAGCAACAGTGTGGTTCTTCAGTGGGTCAGCACACAGGCAGATGTTGTCAACGTAAGGACTCAGGTTCAAAACTGTTTCAACTTTTCCAAGAGAGACGTACTCACCTGCCTGCAGTTTCACCAAATCTTTCTTTCTATCTATGTTTCAATTATTTAAATTAATAATATGAGAGGCACTGGTTACAAAACTTGTGTTAACCAAATGCAAAATAACCAATAAATTAACAAAAGAAATGAGTATTAAACAACAAATAAAATGACAATGTGAAATAAAGGTTCGAAATAAATACACTCAAACCCACATATATATGAAACCCATTTAACCAGCTGCACGTTATTTAAATATAATATGAAACATGTGACAAGATGCAATAACTGATCAAGGTTTTGTAATTCAAAAAAATGAAACAAATAAAAAATGAGCAGAGAAAAAAAAACAAAAACCAACCAATAATTCTAAGACATCCATCTGGCTCAAACGTTCCAATGTCTCCAGTTGCAAACCATCTTTTCCCGCCAATGACCTTGAAACTTTCGGCTGTTTTTACCGGGTCCTTGTAGTATCCCAAAGTCACACTCCCTCCGCTTATCCATATCTCGCCGCGAGGGTTTGGTTGGTTACTTGAATGATAACCACCTTAGAATTAATAAAGTAAACCAGAAAATTTAAAAGACGAATTTATATTTTTAATTTTTTTGACAATGACAATTTGAAAGGTGTACATTAAAATCATTTAAAATTTATTGTTTGTTAAAAAATGCCGTTTGCTGTTGTTGATTTTAAAAAATAATAAAAGATGAATAAAAAAGAAACAAACAACCTTCTTCCCAGTCCACCAATTTGATTTCACAGCAGGCCAGAGGCTTACCAACCCTACCAACAGATCGGTCGTCATCTGAATTTTTGTTCAAACATTACGAATATCAATTTGTCTTAACTATTAATAAAACTAATAAAAGCAGAAATGTCGTTAAATTTTCAACGTTATATTTTAATAATTAAATGACTTCTAATACTTATAATACTTATACTTACGTATAAGTAACGCTGCTTGAACTTTGTAGCTAAAGCGATAATACAAAAATATGAAAGTCATGTTTCACTAACAATGCTGTATTGTTCCAACTCCACAAGTCTCTGTCAGTCCATAGCCTTGACCGACGGGGCAGCAAAAGCAAATGTTGACAAATTCCTGAGTTGAATCGGAGAGAGGAGCGCCACCGGATAGCATCAGCCTCACCTGCCCCCCTGATAGGTTCCGCAGCTTTTGAAATATCAGCCTAAATACAATGTAAACACAAATATATGTCAGTGTATATTTATGGAATAAAAAAGAGATCAACTTGAAATAATTTATTGGCCATTGTCACAAAAGTTAAGAGTTTCATGTACTTTTATCAAAATAAATAAATTTCTATCATATGTTGAAGATGACGTTTATTCTGTTATCTTACCTATTCAACATCTAGAAGAAACAAAAATTGAAACATTATAAAATAACTCTTAGATAACATTCATTTAATATTAATAGTAAGAAATAATAAAGACCAACTTATCAAGTAATGGTGTCTTGTACCCAGCCTTGTACCATTTCTTTTTGTAATCGTAAGCGAACTTAAAAAAAGCTTTCTTGTACTCATTCGATGCATTGACTCTGTCCCAAACTGCTTTGTACAGCCTGTCCATTATCACCTGTTGATTTTATCGGTATCCATAAGATGTTCACTTATACATCACGCATAAAAATAAATATATGTAAATATTTCATTTAATTAGTCACAAGACATTTAATAATGGTCGGCGAATTAGCTCAGTCGGTAAAAGCACCATGTCTCACGTTGTTTTTGCATGATGACCTAGTTCGAACACAGAGCGAATCCTAAACTTAAAAACTATTGTAGGTAGGCCATGCGTATATGATGCGTTGCGTGTTTATGTACGTCATGTGTGGCACAAAAGTTTAGTAGTAAGTACAGAATAAATTCAAAATTCAAAAATAAAAAAAAATTTTTCATTTAAAAAACTTCTAAATTGCTAACAGGTACAATGGCGATTAGTGTTGGGTGCAAGACTGATACGTCACCCTTGCTTCCTTTCTTTATTTTCGAGGACTGAAAATATTTTCAATTGGGAAAAATGTCAATACACATCGTCGTCGTCGTCGTCATCAATGATGTTACATCAACAGTGTTTGCAAAAAAATACAAATTTAAAAATGAAATTTGGCATATTTTGTAAAGAAAAAATAATTTCAAACAAGAAAAACACACAGCACTGTAGTTAAGAATTAAAATAACAAGATCAAAATATTTTCATATTATCAACAGCCTGTTCATGAAATGAAGCAATGCACGTTTGAAAATGTTATGCAACGTTGAGAACAAAAACTTTTTATAACACTTTGAATTGATAATAATCCGTCTATCCGACATCTGACACTTCCAAACAGCTTACATAAGATATAAAAAAACATAAACAAAATATTTTTTCATCATTATTCACAATCGCCATCATCATCGTCGTCACCATCATAATCACCACCATCATCATCGTCGTCATCATCATCACTACCACTAAGAAGACATGTTCAAAAATGAGAGGTGAAAGTTCAAAAAACAGGAAATTATCACATCATGTATATCATTTGTATCTGACGAGCCATATAACCATTACGGGCATATTATTTTATTTTAATTCAGTCGTATTAAAAAACTATAGCTTCCTGTAAAACAGTCAACATCCTCTATAAACATTTCAAAATATTACCACATTTTGAACTGTCATTAAATAAACATGAAATTTCACACAACGCCTTATTGTCAGACCAGTGGTTATATAACAAAAACTAATCCTCACGAACGAATCTATGACTTGTTATGATTAATCAAGAAGAAATAACATCAACAACATTAATGCTCGGCCTTCCTTATTTCGTCATGTTGACTACAAAAGTGCAAATAAAATTTCGTTTCATAAAATCGACGCCAAAAAATGTTGACAAAAGTGAATTAACGATTAAGAAAGTAAGAGAGTACCATAAAAAATGATGAGCAAAAAAGAATAGGCGACAAAAAATGGTTTTTGAGCTGGTGAAGAAAACATTGAAAAAAGTTAAAATGCGAAGAAAAAAATACAAAGAAAATTTTCATACTGGGGAAGGAGAAACCAGTGAACAAACCTCTTCTGTGGGAACTCAGGGATAAGACAACAATGGAGTCTTTAAGCAATTTAAAAACTTGGCAAAAATAGAATATTAAAAATCCCAAACTCAGACTTCTTAAATCACTATAGAAATCTTTGTTTTGTTATGTTATGACACGTTCAGGCATATGCTTATCTCACAGGGATTATTGGATCTGAACCTGAGGTCGAGTTTTCTTTCACGGGCCAGCAACATTTAATGAATTTTCATTGCGTTTCTGTTCAAAACCAAGCTAGAATTTTGTTAATTTCAATTAATTTTCAACATTTTTGACAGCTTGGCCCGGCCCGCGGACCACCACCACTTTGCGAAGAACTGCCTTGACGTATCTGACCCAACATACTGATATAAACATGTGCATGTGAGTAGTTGAGTGTGCACGCGCGTGTGTGTGTTCTGCGCGTGTGTCTTCTCTGAATATCACAAATGGTTTCAAATACATTTAATAATGTTCGTTAATTGTGTTAGTAGTATATTATACAAATAAAAATCATAAGAACAGACGTAATTAGAAAATGTATGCACGTATTGTATAGAGATGCTTATGTTTATTTATTGATATATTTTAAATATTTACATAATTTGACAACTTATTTTTATAACCACTCAAAAAAGTTATTTTCAAGAGTAATTATAAAGCTTAAAACTTCAGTTTGAAGTGTTTTACGAAGCAGTAATGTCATATTGAGATGAGGCAAAGTGTAACAAAACGACCTTAGGATGTAGAATGCTGGTCAAATTCTGTCACTTCACTGAGGAAACCGAAAACTACCTAGACATACATTTGAGAACATATTGTTGCATGTATAATACACGCGTTGTATGTACAATACACATACACGTGATATGCGTGCTACGCAGATACGACATCCAATTGATTTATCTGGGTCACATCCACAAAGTGTGCGACAGACATTTTGACGTTTTAATATTTTCAATGCTAACTTTTTGTTGCAACTTTTACTATCAAATTGTCATCGCCGAGTCTTGCAAATGGTACAATGATAAAATTACAAGTGATTTCGTTGTTGCATATATAAAAAAAACTGTCCACGAGCTAGAAATATAACTCCTTTATATTGTCAGTTCAAAATCATGAAATATTAAAGAACTTTGCAATGACATTTTGACACAAATTTTCAATTTCTTCAATATCTGGGACATATCAATCCACATTCACATGTAAATCCAAATTTATATTGAAAAACAGAACTATAAAACTTGAGAGATATTTTATGTTACTGAAGCATGGTATCAACACACTTACCTGGTCAGTTAGTGTGTTGGGAGATGAGAAACCAATTTTAACTCCCAAAATGAACGAAGCTAACTCAGCTGACAGTTCCAAGATGTGAGCGAGTGGTAGGTAGGCCAGGCATGAGTCCGATGCACTGTAATGATAGATATGTGTGTTTATGTGCGTGTGAGTGAGTTTGTGAATGTATGTGAGCAGGCGCGCGCGCGCGCGTGTGTTGTTGAAATAATTCATCTAATTATATGGTTATGTGATAATGCTAACGATAGGATATGAAATATTTGGCACTGCTAAAAATATTCGTACGACATGATGATAAAAATACCAATAAATATTCTAATAATATGATAACGTCATTGAAACAATCACACGATCTGCTGATGTGATATGGCATGATATATCAAATGATACGATGGTCCAGTTAGTATGATAATCCTGTCAATGTAAATGAAAAAAGATTTGAATAATAAATTAAAGGATCGACTTGAAAGATGTAACAGATAGGTTCATCAAAAAAATTTTTATTAAAAAAGAAATTAATGGCACAGAGGACTGTGAATAAATTAAATTAGTTAGCTGTTCAGAAAGCATTAGGCTAGATGAGTAGCTTGGTGGCTAGGCTAGTAAGTACCTTTGTGAATTTCAAATGTTACAAGTGTTTCGCATCAATCTATTTACTCAGTTGATGAATTCATTTAAAATTAAACTTCATGGAGTGTTTCAATTAAAATGTTGGATGTCGAAATTAATTCGTCTTCTTAATGAGTGAATGTTTTGTTTTTAGCTAATTTATTATTTGACTGTGAAAGATTTTTATTGTATATCGTACGTAAAATTTAAATAACCACAAAAAAATATTCAACTGAATTATTTATAATTAACTTAGCAGGCTTTTTTCAAAACTTAATTCGCGATTAAATAAAAATAAACTTTCATCTAGAGGTTATAGTTTTCAAAACAAAATAACTTACTACAAGAGGAAGAAACGCATTAACACGAATATATGCACACAGTACTTCAATCAATCAATCAATCAGTCAGTCAGTCAGTCAGTCAGTCAGTCAGTCAGTCAGTCAGTCAGTCAGTCAGTCAGTCAGTCAGTCAGTCAGTCAGTCAGTCAGTCAGTCAGTCAGTCAGTCAGTCAGTCAGTCAGTCAGTCAGTCAGTCAGTCAGTCAGTCAGTCAGTCAGTCAGTCAGTCAGTCAGTCAGTCAGTCAGTCAGTCAGTCAGTCAGTCAGTCAGTCAGTCAGTCAGTCAGTCAGTCAGTCAGTCAGTCAGTCAGTCAGTCAGTCAGTCAGTCAGTCAGTCAGTCAGTCAGTCAGTCAGTCAGTCAGTCAGTCAGTCAGTCAGTCAGTCAGTCAGTCAGTCAGTCAGTCAGTCAGTCAATCAATCAATCAATCAATCAATCAATCAATTAGCTTATAAAGCGCTATTTCCGCGATGTTCAACAGCGCTCCTCAATGAATTTTGAAAACAGATGGGTCTTGACATCCGCTCTGAACTTCGCAAGTGATGGAGAAGTAGTCAGAGAAGTAGGTAGAGATTTCCAGAGAAAAGGACCAGAAAAAGTATAATCAAGTATAATCACTCTCACATCATGCAGCCAACAATACAAAGTCTATCGGATCATCTCTTAAAACTAACTCGCGATAAAAATAAACATAAAAATCATTCTCAATATTTACCTATAAAAAAACCATTAACCTAATGAAAAAATATATTTACTCGTGGTACATTTAATATTTTGAGTGAAAAAAGATAAGTAGGTAACGTATGCATCCACTATAATTAAGAAGAGCAAAAAATTAATAGTCTTATATTCTGTTGCTATCCTGAAATTATTGCAGACAATGCCTGCTAAAAATTTGTGATGATAATTACAACAATAATAAAATACATTATAAGTGGATTACATAAACCTGCTGGCTGATGCACAATGAATTACCTACTTTCACGTATCTGCTTTCACCTGTTTACTAAGTTGAGAGTAGAAATAAAATAAAAGACGAAACACAATGCACTACTACTACTCATAAAACATTCTGCATGCACTACTGCTTTAACATATACAAACATCAAGCAACTGTAAACATTCAGTCCAAACAAAATGCGCATAATTAACAAAATATTTTAATACAATATAATATAATAACATCATAATTTATTTATTCATTCAGGCAAAATCGAATCTAATCAAAATAAATAAATCTACATAAATTGTACTTTTGAACAAAGTAAAAGCAAACTAATAAATCAACTGAACACAGTACGAAACGTTGAGTATTCCTAACAGTGAAAACATCCACAGTGGGAAGTTTGTATCAAATTATTTAGCAAGAACTTTTCATTCAGTGCATGTACTGCACATACTGCACAAGGTATAAGATGCTGAAGGTAAAAAGCAGGTGTATCTGTATATATGGCTGAAGCGAGACCAGTTCAAACATGTTTTCAAACTAAATCATGTCGAAATACTTTCTAACATGCAGGATACATCATCATCTTCATTACCATCACTAAGAAATTGTCACGAGATGTATATATTGAAATAATAACTTCAACGTTCAAACGTCCTCATCATTGTTTCATAGTCATTTGTACGCATCATTCAATTCATCACATCTTAACTATCACCCTAATCTTCACAATAATCACCAACTTCATCTTCGTCAATGTTCATATCATAATGAAACTGAAATAACCAACCTCACGGGTCCAATGGCGGGAATGAAGCCAGAAAGAGCGCTGCATATATTTTCATGTGATATCAGCACACCTTCATGTTGTTCATTGGTGATTGAATGTTGCACAGTGTGAACATGAGAACAAACATACACATCATACAAACGAACAAAACAACACCATACAAACACTACAGGCGCATCTTGTATTATATTAAGAGAATAATTGTTTACGGGCAACTTCAGACCAAGGTTATATTACAATGAAACTTTATAGTTGTTATGATACAAGTAGAAGGCAGATTTATTTCCAATACTCATTGATTGATGCGATGCATTGCCTTAATCTTTTCTACTAATTAATCCATTTAATTCATCATCGTTATTCTTTTTTGACGAAACATAAGTTTTTCATTTAAAAAGAAAATCATTATTTCATCATAATTATTGACAGATAATAAAATTATTTAATTTTACAGCCTATAACATCGGAACTAAAAATTTTTTATATCCTATCACAAAAGTAAGTCATTAATTTTTATGAATATTTGTTCTCATGTATATATAAATATGTCATTTAAATGATCAAAGGTTTGGGCATGTGTGCACATTAATATTAAGTAATTTACTTAAATTTTCGAGAATGTTTGTACGTTATTATATGCTTAGTATGTACACATTTGCTTAATATTACATATTGTATGGTTGGTTAATTACATTGTTTTTTTCACTTGTTGGAGGCATTGGAACTTTTAGTTCGCGCCCTTTAATAATAAACTATTATTATTATTATTATTTAAAAACGCCATTATGAGAATACAAGAAAAATTGAATAAATAATTAAGATACCCTTTGGAGATCCAGTTGAACCGCTGGTATACATAATAACAGCCAGGTCACTGGCTTTTGGAGCAACACGTTTGAGGAAAGCTGTTCAATAAAAGTTCAGTAATATTCAACTTTTAAAAAATATGTTCAAGAAGAACCAAGTTCTATTCTTATCTGATGTGAAAGACTTGAGACTAAATTTATAAATTTTAAAATAAAGACTATTGAATTAAAAAACGTATATTAAACTTTGGTTTATCCTGGCCATTGAATGAAATGACAGCTAATAAAACAGTTATATAATGATACGTGATGATGCTAATTTTATAAAGTTTTATCAACATGACTTATGACACATTTTTTCTACAATAAATAACTGCAATTTAAAAACCAACAGTAGTGCTAAACAATGTTCTGATGTTTATCTTATTCAATGAATGAAATGTTGGTAAAATTTTTTATTTATTAACAATATGTGGTCTTTAATATCTGTTTACAAACAAATTTCGTTTGAAATTTTCATCCTCCAGATGATATTAATTTATCCTTTAAATAATAAACATTTATTTTGTTAGAAGACTTGTTTGTGTTTTCAATGTCTTCATTGTATTATATGGAATTTGAATATTTTGTTCATTCTAGATGAAACTTTTTAAACTGTAGGACACAGTAAATTATTGATGGCCAATCTAAATTTCAATATTATTATGTTCGTCTTTTGCATATGGCCATCACATGATCACATAACAATTATTTCTTTGTGTTGATAATTGTTATTTAATTGAAGCTAAAAAGATGTTCATTTGTTTGTATCACAAAAAAGAAACAGGAAATTTTGCAATAAATTAATAACAATCAAATGAAAAAGTGGTTCAATACTGAAATTATGAAAATTTCAAACCAGATTTATTTGTAGCTGCAGCGCCAATCTCTTCAACTTTAGACAGAGGGAGAACCTTAACAGATGAATTCTTAAATGAATCATAATTCTGCTTCTTCAAACTCAAACTGAAAAAGCCATCAAAGTATATGATGTACTTCAGCTTTGGTAGGTGGTTCAAAATTTTCTGAAAAATTGAAAATCAAAGGTTGTAAAACTTAAATGAAAAAAAATTATGCTAATCTTGAATTGTGGTTTAATTGCATTTGTGTTGAGAGAAAGAAAGTAAATGAGGGAAAAAATTATTTATGCAAAAAACTGAATAACAATTTTTTTGAGACAATGTAAGACCTTTTACAATTAATCAAATAATAATTCACATTGGCAATTAAGTATTCTCTATAAAATTATAAAAACTAATTTGGAACAACCGCTTTTCTTATGTATAATTGTTATCTAAACTATTATAAAAAGTGATTCAAACATCTTTATTATGTTAATAATTTAAATGGATATAACCTCTAACCCAACCCAACCTACTCTAGCTAGCCCTGATCAAATAAAGATTTGTATTGCAGCTGTTTCAGCGACACATAAATAGTTCATTTAATAAATTTTGCAGATAGGTACTATTTTAAGGATCAATAAATATTATAAAGTAAACAAATTCAGCCAGTAGAAAAAATCTTGGTTGTGCAGTAGCTGATGAGTGAGTGGTGAGTGATATAACTTTCGTAGATATTCACATAAGTACATATAAACTATATCTTTAACCAACAACAGACAGTTTCTTTGGAGACGTCATGTACAATTGCAAACCAATTTTTGACTTTTTTGACAATTTATTTGCTTAATTGCAAAATTATTGAAATAAAATTTGCAAAATATTTTTTAGCATATATTGAAATTTAACAGTGGAAAATAAGAACGTTTTGTTAACCGAAAATTTAGTAACTCCCTCAGCTGTGGTGATGATTATGTTGACGTCAGTCTCATTCAATCCATGCTTGATAGCTTCTTCGCCAAGTGTGGCATACAAGGTTATTACTGCATGTGCAATAAACAAAACCATTAACTCACTGTAAGCCAGTGTATTCAAACATCAATTTGAATGATTATTACACAAAAACAAATTAACATTCAAACAAAAATTTTAAATAACATGGTTAAATAATAAAAGTGAAAGAAAATTTCAAACAAAAACATACTAATTTATAACATTAGTTCAAACTAACTAGGAAAAAACTTGAAAACACTCAAGAAAAATGAATATAAACTTTAGTTCTAACATACACCAATGAGTATGAAAATACCTGTACAAGTGTACAATGCATACCTGGTATGTTGCACTTGAAGCATGCAAAAGCAGAGGTGAGCCATCCAGCTGATGTTTCAGCATATATGCAAACCATAGATGAAGAGTCCAGCTGGGCAAGACCATAACTCAAATTTTCAACTCTACCACCTAACTCTTTGTAAGTCATCCATTTATAATCTCCATAAACTGCCTGAATGAGAAGACATTAAAATTAGTACAATTATAACAGTAAACTATATGTTACAAGTAAAAGCCTATACTTAGTTGGACCTAAACGTATTTTTAATTATGTCCATTAAAATTGAACCTTTTTAAAAACTTTTCCATTTGGCTGAACTTCATCTTCCTCATTAAGCAATTCTCTCATTCCAAAAGTTGGACTATCAGTAAATTTCTTGACTCCATAATCAAAAAGATCATTGATTGTATTACAGTTAGGGATTGGTGATGTGTAGAGGCCATCAATTGCTTCCACTGCTCTGTAGGGACTAGATGGATCATTCTCTTTCACTGGTTTTGCCTAAATTATTAAAATTAAATGCAATCAAAGGATTAAGCAATAATTATAATAAACTTTAATATTCCAACAACCAATATTAGTGTACTGCTGAAAGCCTCTTTTATTAAATAAGCGATAAAATTTCATTGAATAAAAGTAAGTTAAGTAGCACAAACTGCTGTTTTTTTAAACATAAAATGCATAATTGGACCAGTAGAAAAATATATAATGTCCCATGCCCATTAGCATTTATTTGAGTACTGTATTTCATATTGTATTTCATTTCATATTTAATTTAACTAACTTTTAAAATTTACTTTTTATGATTTGTTATGAATGCATTTAATTAAAAAATAAATTAATGAAGTTGTAACTAAATTTATATTAAATGTCGTCGTAAGTAAATGAATGTTGAATGAATAAACAAATGAATGAACGAATGAATGAATGAACGAATGAATGAATGAATGAATGAATGAATGAATGAATGAATGACAATATAAAATAAAATCCCTACCTTGACACAGTTTGATTTTCTCAATGTTTCTTCATGGTCAGTGAGGAAATAATAAGGCAGGAAGGTTATGGCATCAAAAATATACGACAAAGCTTGCAGTAATATGCCCAGAGTTGATATCCTAAATCCCATTCTCTTCTTTCTAGGTAGGTGGTTTTTTAGTTGTTTAGTGCACACACAAGGAATAGAAAAAACAAAAGAAGTAATTAATAATTAATTACGAATTACAATTAATTACTTGACAATAATTTTAAAGTTCGGTGAAAGTAAACTTTATTTAGTTAATTAATTAACTCAATTAAATCCGAAAAACTACACTGTAAAAATGTAAATGGTGCAACGAAAAATAATTCAAAAAGGTTCAACCTCAGCAAACAAATCTTTGTAAACTTTAAACTTTAAAAGGCCAACCTTTATCTAACTAATGACTGAAATAATAATAAAAATAAAAGCAAAAGATATGTTTTCTTATTAATATTATGCTATGTGTTGTTTTGTTATATAACGTTGTATGTGTGGTATCTGTAGTATATTGTATTGTTTGTATTTATTCTATGTATAGCATATAATGTGGTTAAATATGTATTATGTTTATTATCTAATCTATGTATTATTTTTTTATATAGGTTATATATGTATGTATGTATGTACATTATTACCAGCTCTTTGCATTGTACATTCGTGATAATTCGTGCATGTACTGTACAGAGTTATATAACATATTATAATTCCTACCCAGCAGCGTAAATATTGACGAGCACCTTTAAGCAGATGAGGCGCACATAAAAATGCGTCATCTTTCGAACAATTGAGCCGTCCTTAGAACGCGGTTTTGTAGGTGTTGGCAAATCGAAGTAAAATATTTATTAATTAAACATGGTAACGTGTTTGGGATGAAACATTGTCATCGTTAACCTGAAACTATTTCTGTGATCTCAACAAAAAAATATCCACAACTTTCACATACTAGTGACTACGCCATGCCATGGGTTGCATCAACGAGACATAACATCAAACAAAACTCTGCCTTATACCGATTCAATAGGCTTTTTCGCCTGGTTGCCCTGGGTTGCCCACACATTTTTTTCTTCGGATATACGTTTTTCGTGGGCTTACGTTGGTTGTCAAAGAGTTGTACTAGTTTTTTTTAATGTGTTCGTTTGAATCCTAGTCTTTCTCAAACATCTTTTATATTTATAAAAACTTCATAAAACTCGACTGCCGTTTACTTCTACCCTTTATGTCTTCATGTCTACAAGTATATGGTTTGATGGGCTTGATCCATCTTTTTTTGATTTGTTCTTTTTAAGACTTATCATTTAGGGTGAGTAAGGGCTTACTAAATTATTTAGACATGTCTGTTTATGTCAAGGACTAAAAGAATCTACAGTAGTTAAGGATCCAATTGACTTGAGAAGGCATCTTTTTGAACGACCACATCGACAATGATTTTGCTCTCGTTATAGTCAATAGCTTATTTTTCTTTTTTTTAGTCGTTGAATTGGTTTATATAAATGGTTGAACATGTAAAATGCTAAATAAGTTATAAATAATATAAAGCTTGATAATTTTTGTGAAGATCAGTTAAATAAGCAAAATTCGATGTCATATTTGTAAGCTTGACAAAATCTTCTGATGTTTTTGTTAGGTTGCTAGGGCTGTTAAAAAGTGCTGCACGTTGTGAGGACAATTGTTGCATAGTGGACAGTTGTCTTAACAGTTTTAGTATTTGTAGAGCAGATCCTAATTTTGCTAATGTTTTTTTTGAATTTCTTGCCAGGGTTTATTTTGGATTTATTGTTGGTATATGTCTAGTATTTTTGCCAGGGTTTATTTTAGATTTATTGTAGTTTTTGTTTGTTAGTGCTTCGTTGACTGATCTTGTTTGTTTGCTAATTGCTTGATCGCTTATTAAACTGTTTGTGTAGTCATCGGTGTTTATGTGGATGAATTGTTCAATTTAACTTTGATATTGCATTTAAAAAGTGTTAATTTGTTGTCATGTCACAGATGACACTTTTTGACATTTTGTTATAATCTATGAGTGTGGTAGATTGGTACTCACTGAGTACAGGTTCTTGTGAGATTATTTTGTGATGGGGTAGCCTGTTTTTATTGACGAGTTTGAGTCTATGTTGGGCAGGCATATACATTTATGCTCGTCTAATTGCTCGCCCTTTTCTTTTCTCATATATCTCCATATCTTGTTCTCTTGCACTGGCTACCTATAAAATATAGAATAATTTTTAAAATTTGCACGTTCATGTATAAGTCTCAATCTAAATTATTTCCTAAGTATTTATCAGATATATTAATTGAACCTAAACGCCCCGGTTTACGATCGTCTTCTTCTTCTCGCTTTTTCTTAACTCGTGTTAAACACTCTTTTGCCAAATCTGCTTTTGCTTTTTCTGGTCCTTTTCTCTGGAACTCTCTACCTACTTCTCTAACTACTTCTCCATCACTTGCGAAGTTCAGAGCGGATCTCAAGACCCATCTGTTTTCAAAATTCATTGAGGAGCGCTGTTGAACATCGCGGAAATAGCGCTTTATAAGCTAATTGATTGATTGATTGATTGATTGATTGATTTATAGGTCTAGTTATAGTTTTGTAAGTTTGTAAAATGATGGTTAACATCGCTTCAATAGTTTGTAAGGAATTAAAAAAATTATAGCTTTATTAATTTAGTTCTGTTCTGTTTGATGAGTTGATTTCTATATGGATTATTTCATAAAATAAAAATGAACTACCATTAGCTTTCTATAAGCATCAATTCTTTGCTCAATTGTTAAAACTACAAAAGTTAAGTTACAGGTGTCAAAGGCCAACAAATATTTGCTTACCTTGTGTTTTGTTTTCGGTGAAATGTTACTTTTTACGAAGTAAATTGACAATTAATTGATTTTGTTATGTGTTTGTTTTGAAAAAAACTCCAAAATGTTTCGAATCGGCATTCTTACGGGTAAAATGATTTTTTGAAGTTTGAAATTATATTAATTATTATTTATAATATAATAAATAAATTTTATATTATATTCTGCATTAAGAGTATAGGTATAGATAGTGCTAGCTACCTCACATCACTTGCTACTCTGATATGATGTGCAATCTGATATTGATGCACATTTGTATTTACATACAACATACATACACTGCATTGTATTGTGATACAAATACAACATACATGCATACACTGTTTTGTATTGTGATGTACATTTAGTTACCATACATACACTGCATTATCTTGTGATTTACATTTACTTTACAATTTACATACAACATACATACACTGCATTCTATTGTGATGCACATTTACATATAACACACATACATACACTGCATTATCTTGTTGTGTACTGTACATTTACTTTACATACAACATACATACACTGCATTGTATTGTGATGTACATTTACAAACAACATACATACATACATTACTTTGTTTTGTGATATACATTTACATATAACATACATACACTGCATTGTATTGTGATGTATTTACATTTACACATACAACATACATATGCTGTTTTGTACATTTACATACAATAACATACACACACTGTATTGTATAGTAACTTAAAGAGGAGCTGACCTGACTGATGCTTGCTCATGTTTATTTAATGAATTAATATTACTAATTGAACCAGTTTGGGACATGATGAAATTAAAATTTTAATTAATTAATTAATTAATTAACTAACTAATGTTAATGAAGATTACTGATTGCATTGTTCACTTTTTGTTTTGTTGTAGTTTTATAAATTTGTTTGTATTATAATTATGAAATAATAACAGTAACTAGCATTAGGACTAGACAAACTTGTCACTTATTTTAATTTATAATATTAATTATAATTAACGGTTTTAATTTAATTTTAATTTATTTTTTATCGATAATTAATTTAATTCAAATTTACAGTTTATTAATTCAAGTATAAACAGAGACACACAGATGTATCAATGTTTACATTTGAAAAATAGTGTAGTTAAGCAAGTGGATTTTGTCTTTTTAATTTTAATTTAATTAGTAATAAAAAGCAGTTGCTAATTAGCCTTCGTTATCAACCTGTCAACCTGTTTAAAAAATAAAGAAAGCAGAAAGGATCTGTTAAAAAAATGTAAAATGAAGATGGGGCAGAAAAAAAGACAAGAGTAGGTAAACTAATTTTTAACTAATTAGCTGGGGTGAAAGAAGAATTATACAAACTTTGATGCTATACATATGTCATGAAGATGAAGATGTGATAGCATTGTAGAGAATTAAGTTACACTCTACTTCTAAATTCTCTACTTCACCTGGTATCCAACTGTAGATAGGAGAATTTAGTTTAGTGCAATTGTGATTGCTAATGAAAATTAATTAGTTAAATTAAATTAATTAATTGGAATGCACATAGTTTAACTATCTATTAAGAATAAGATGTAATTGAAATATATTTAAATTGAGAAAGATAAGTTTTTGATTATGTAGTCCTAGCTTCAAAGAGAATAGTAAATCAGGCATTAAAGGATAAGCATCTTAAACCTTAAATTCAGTTAATAACAATGGCAGGAATATTTTGGTGGTGATAAAATAAAGGATGATCTGAAAATGTCACATGCAATATTTTATTTTTTTGTTTTATTTATTTTTATCATTATTTTATCTTGTTACGTATTAAAATATAAGAATTGGATCGATAATTTTTTCAATTGTTGACTGCTGTTAACCCTCTAATGATATTTTTAATTTTCATTGAAATCTTTCAGTGAGTGACTCATGCTCTAGCCACCGGACAGCTGACAAGAGTGGAGTCCTGCTGAAGAATGTTGTGGAGGGCCAAAAAATGTTACATAATCTTAAACTTCAATTTATTACTTACCTAAACTTACTATTCATCATTAGTTTGTGACACTTACACACGCACACACACACACACACGCACGCAAACACAAACACACACACACAAACACCCACACACACAGACAAGCACACACACACACATACATATATACATGCATGCATACATATATATTTATTTATTTATTTATATATGCATGATAAAAATGTTCACATTAATTGTTGTTTCAGAAGTTGTTACTTCACACTATTACATTTATTTTGTTTTCCATCAATTTTCAGTTCAGAGAGTGCCTTGTATGAAATAGTGCCAGATGATGTGAACGCAATTAAAGTAATGTGAATTCATTGCCCAACAATTATGTTTCATTTAATGACATGAACTTTATTATTGACTCTAAATATTGTGACAAATGAATACAATTAAATGATTTCTCCAACTAACCATGCATTACAAAGGAGCAGTTGTTGAAGTGGTCAGATGAGTTGATGCTTGATGTCATCCTGACAACTGGTGGCACGGGATGTTCGCCAAGAGATGTCACTCCAGAAGTATTCCCGTTTAATTGCATTCTTGTTCCAATCTTAAATTGCCTCTTTTTTTATTGGTTTTCACATTGACACTGTTTTTATATAATTGTTTTAAAAACTAACATCTTTTAGATCTTTTGAAACATTCTTCATCAAAACGAAAACACATCCTAGTTTTAACTTAAATGTTGGTGCAGTGAGTAACTCTTGATAGCTCGTTTGCTGGCTGAACATCATTTGTCATTTGCTCTTTTTTTTATCTTTTTCTTGTTTAACGTTGATTTCATTATAACGAAGTCACCATATCTAGATTATCAATTTATATTTTTGTTACATAGTTTATTTAATATTTACTTTTTACAAGTTATTAGTTTAGTGAGTCCAAGTCTTGAACCATTTAAACACCACTACAATATACTGAAGACAGAGTGACTTTCAGAGCATGAAGTGAAGTGTGGTTATACTTATAACAAATATATGAGCAACCAGTGAATTTTAAGTTTCAAGAGTTATGGGAAAATGTGCGTACAAAAGTGTAGTTACGTTTTATTTATTGATGGCGGGATGAGGATATAATTTGTTTTTCATTTAGCGCTGCTGACTCATTGGTTTTTGATGTTTTTGATTTAACAAAACTTTATGAATGATAAAATATATATGATATAAAATTAGGTCTTAAATTGAATTTTAATGATTTTTATTTTTTCGTAATATATTTAGAATTAAAATATCTAATTAGCGTTAGATATTTAATCATGTATGAATAAAATGATAAAAAAATTCTCAAATTGAAGGCTACGAGATGTTTGATTGAGAGGGAGATTCCTGGAATGTCAGTGGCAATGTTGATGGAATCACTTAAAGTTGTCCCTACAGCCATGCTATCCAGGTACGCACGCACCTACATCTCTGTTCTCATTTCTGGGAATTATTTTTATTTCTTAAACTTAGTTGTCACTGGATTTGGACTGTAATTTATGAAAGCAAAACAAAAATAGTTAGAAAATATAAATATAATAATGCATTGATATTTTGAATGTCGAGAATATTTTATTTAATGAGGTCACTCGTGTTACAGTTTTGTTACGGCTTTGTCGTTAAAATAAACATCGTTTAGTTTATCTTAAAATATGAGTTGAGTGTAATTTTTGCTGTGCTCTCAAGTGTTTGATGTGTGTGAACTGTTAGCATGTACAGTCACTTTTGTTCATGTCAAATTCAGTTCATGTACGTACATGGCGTCTCTGTGCATTGGCTGCACTTTTTTGTGTATGATGTGTAATAACACTGAATTTCTTCATGGTAAGGACACTATGATGATCCAGATCCAGTCCAATCATAGATTGGTGGTGGGATTGGTGCATTCCCGTAAAATTATTGTGATGCGATGTAAAATGTTTATACTTTGTTGCAACAATGATTGATTTAAAAACACATCCCATTCATGCACGTCACATCAGATCAGTATGCGGAATTCGAAACAAAACGATAATCATCAACCTACCTGGGAGCCCGTCGGCAGCCATTGTTCGTATTTTAAACTATTCAGTCTTCCTAATGATTTGCCACTATTCTTAAATCAATTATTTATTTAATGTTCGTTTTAAAAGCACTTGATGTTAGTCATTTTTGTTGTTACTTCCTGCCTGAAACCTATGACATGGTTCTATCGCCCCACGTTTTGTGGTTTTTTCTTAAGTTGAACTCAACTTAGACTTGAAGCTTGTTATTATGGAAATGTTTGAAAAGGTTCTCCAGTAATGTGCACTTCCATCAACTAAGCTGTTGATGGAACAACTGTTACAAAATGTTACAACACCCGCTTTTATTCTATTATAAACTCAATAATGTGCAATTTAAAATTATACATTTTATTTTTTCATTATATGAAGATAATAATCAAATACTTTTTCACTTTGCAATATTTTAACAATTTCATCATAGGAATGCTTCAATGTGATCCTGCCTGTTTTGAGTCACGCCGTTCATCTGGTCAGAGACGAGAAAGAAAAATCTGATGCTCTTCACTCTTTCATTCAAGATCGCCATCATCATCAGCTACAGCAGCAACAGCAGCAGCAGCAGCAACTTGATTCCAGTGATCTGGTGATGGAAGATGTTGCCCTTGAGGATTCAGTGATGACTGACCTGGTTGGCGTTAGTGTTTACATTGCATGCGTTACATTGTTACATTTCACAAGTTGCCATTTAGTATATACTTAATGTTTTTTTATGTTGTAAAATTTAAACATTTTTTTATTCATTGAACATTAAAACTTTTTTTGCATCAAGCGTCTGTTTAAGAGTGGATGACTTACACGTTTTTTAAGTCGTTCATTGAAGTGTAGTTGGTGATGAACTCAGTGATGTTTCCAACGTTCACTCATGGGATTAATCTTTTTTTTCATTATTATTATTACGTTATTCACACTATTAACTTTCCTTAGAGAATATGCCGTCGTCGTCATCATCATCATCATCATCGTCACATAATATTACGTCATCACCGTCATCACATAATCAGACTGTGGAGCATGCAAAAGGAGATGATGGTTGTCATCATCTTTATGATCAGCTTCATCACAAGCAACAACAGAAACCTCATTATCATCACTATCAGCAACATCAGCATCCCACTCATCATCATCACCACCATCATCATCGTTATCATTCGTGCCATTCTCGTTCGCGTTGTTCATCTGAATCAAACAACACAAGTGAGTGATTCTTATATTTGTTTGTACATTTTGTCATATTGAATTTGTCTTATCATTTTCCATTATCATCACTAATGATACAAGTATCAAAAATCTATATCAATGATCTATAGTATCAAAAAACGAAAAAAAGATCGTTTGTGAAATTTCTCTATCCTGTAGAATGATCACATTAATTGCTATTGTTTATTGAGGCATTTAATTGTTTACGTTGTCACTCCAAGTTCATCATTATTATCATTGTTTTTATTACCATCGTGACCACAATCATAAACGATCGTCTCCATCGCCAACTCCATCATCGTCGTCATCGTCATCACATGTAGGTCTAGTTGACGAGGCTCGTGTCGCCTTTCGACCTAGGGAGTCCAAGTATCCGCTGTTGAATGTGGACGACGCCTGCGACATCATCATGAATGAAGTTACAGTTCTCACTTCGGAAGCTGTTCCTTACGATCGTACGGCGTGTTTCTAGTTCCTTTCTTTCTATATCACTTTCTCATTCAATATAATATTTTGTTGATTTTGCAAAGTGGCATTAATGGTACTTATTGAGTTGAGTCAATGAGGGATTAGAAATTGAATATAAGATGATTTAATGTCGGGTACTTAATTTTGAATCAGAAAAAAATATTTATTTTTAAGTTCTTCAGTAATCAATTTGTCTTTAGTGGGTATACACCCATAAAAATAAATTAAATTTTTACCTAGTTTCACTTGCACTGTAATCCAACGCCAAAAATCACATGTATTTCATTATATATTTAACATACCAGTGCAGTAAGATGTATTCAATGAAATGTTTTTAATGCTGTGTTTGTCGTCTCATGGTCTAACTTGATTATTCTAATTTTAATTTAATACTTTGAGGCATGTTAACCATTTTTTTTTATCATTTATAATTTGATTTGATACCTAGGTAACTGTATACTCAATTTATTATCTTTTCCAATCGTATTAATACTTGTTCGTACTGCAGCCGTGTTATAGAACTTCCTTCCCTTAATGATCCAATGTCGAAAGCCATGCAATAAAATTTCATTCTGTCAGTGATATAACGTTGAAATAATTTTAATATATTACTGTCAACATTGGTTGTAAAAATGTTAATTTTCAAAAAAAAGAATGTCTCAACCGAATTGTGGCCTGCGATGTCTTCGCTGAGTCCAATCTCCCTCCATTTGATGCGTCCGTTAAAGATGGATACGCCATCATTGGTTGGATCATATTTTTCTCATTTTTTCTCGTTGAAATTTTCATTTTTTCTTAAAATGAACTATCGACATCAATTTATCTAATGTCATTTATGAGGAGATGTAATAGTTAACGTGTTTGTAAATGTCATGGCTGTGTGAATTTATTTTGAATGTAACCTAAACAGCTGCAGATGGGCCAGGTGTAAAGGTCGTTATTGACGTTTCTACGGCTGGATCCATGGTAATGCATGCTACTACTTTAACTTTTAATTAACCTTTAATTAATTACATGTTAAGTGAATCAGTACTCTTTTAACTGCCTTCATTTCACTAATTTCGTGCTTATATGCTAAGCCTACTTTATGCTTCAGTTACTACATTTATAGCTTATTTGCTAATGCCGTTGTTCTATCAATCAATCAGTAAGTACCTACTAAATATTTAAAGTAAACAGATTTGCCTGAAGGAGATTCAACTATATAAACTTCTTCATATGATAAAACGATTTTTATTATATGCCTATTCATTATAAGCACTAAAGTGTCGCCTATAAAAATGCGTTATTTATTCACTTTTATCAAATTTTTACATTTAAAAACAGCGTACTAAATATATTTAGTGTTTTCTACAAATTTTTTAAAATTTGATGGGTTCTTATCAATTTTACTTTGAACATGTGCAAACAGTTGATAACGAAACATTGAATATTCAAGCTGGATAGTTAATTGGTCACGCATTCATAAGCTTGCTTACCTCTAAACCAGTGTTTCCCAACCTTTTTCAGTGTTGGCCTCCCTAAAAAAGTCCTAATGGTAACTTGGCCTTCCCAAATCCCGTCGTCAATAATTGAAAAAAAAATCAATTTGTTATAACAATTTTTATTCAGACAGATTTAATTAAAATTAGCATTGTTCATAGTAATAAGGTTTATGTAAGGTTTTTTAATTTATTACATAAAATGTTATTGAAGCTTAATGAGATGATTGTTGCTGTTTTCCATCACAGAGAAGATGAAATCGAGGTTCTGTATTAGAAAGAGATACCCTCATATCATTCGAGGCATCCAATCTATTTCTATCTTTAGTCTTGATAGATACTAATGTAGAAAACCCTTTTTCACATAAGTAGGTGATCGAAAATGGAATCAGAGCTGCCATGGCTTTTTTAAATAAATTTAAATTCATTTAAGAGTGTGAACAGATCAGCTAAATATGCCATAATAACTATGAAATCAGTCTTCTCAAAGTCACCTGCTAACGTTTTTTCTTTTTCTTGCAAAAATGAAGACACCTCATCTTTCAGGTCCATTAGTCTTGAAAATACCTACTTACCCAACACACTTGGTGCTCCATCAGTACAGAGTGAATGTAATTTTGTCAACCAACTAAATTCATTTCTTTCAAAGAAAGTTGCAATCATTTGAAAAACATCTGCAGCTTTACTAGTTGTCTGAAGTGGTTGGCAAAATAAAAATTCTTCTTTAATTTTAAAATTACATACATAACGAACATACACTAAAAGCTGGCAACACATTGATACATCTGTGGTTTCATCAAGTTACATACCAAAATTAAAAGGACTACTTTTCAGTTCTGACATAACTTGGGCCAAGATATCATTTGAAAGATCTGCTATTCTGGAACAAATAACATTATAAGAAAGTAGAATTTCTTCAATCTGTTTTCTTTCTTTTTTCCAAGAATTAACTCCACCATTTCAAGTGCACAGGGTTTTATTAAGGTTTCTCCAATTGTATGTGGTTTTCTTTTTTTGGCAGTCAAATAGGCAACTTTGTAAGAAGCCTCAAGAAGTGGTTTCTTTGGTTGAGCAAATCCAACATTTTTTAATGTTCCAGTGGCTTGAAATCTAGCTCGCTTCAGTTTGAAGGTATCCAGGTTGTCGTTGACATTTCCAGGATGTTTGGTTTTTAAGTGGTGGCGTAACTTTGCTGGTCTCATTCTATCATTACAATATACTGCTCCGCATAAGAAACATTGTGGCTTTTCAGTGCCATCTTCTTCAGTAATAGTCGTGAATCCAAACGCAACGTAGGTTTCGTCATAGCAACGTTTTTTCGACATTATTGAAAACTGAAAATGATAAAAAAACACATATTTTAAAAAGAACTGAAATAATTAAAAAATCACAAATATAAATTATCAGTTATGTTAGAACAGCAGACCAAATTTTTAGTTAATTTATTCAATTAATTGTCTTATTTTATTAATTTTATTGAAAAAGAAACTCATGCAGGGTATCACAGAAAACGCGACAGAAAGAAAATGAGGGATTTATGAAAACAGAAATGTGCAAATCATTATTCAAATAAATACAATATGGAAAGCCGTTACGCAAAAACAATTTTCATATAGTATTCAAAAAATCGTTTTTAGCATGATTAAAATTTTGTGATTTAACAAAACTTTATAAAATTATATAAATTTATAAAATACATGTAAATAGAACACCTTAGTTGGCCTCCCCTAAAAGATCATTTGGCCTCCCCAAGGGAGGCCGGCCCCACCGGTTGGGAAACCCTGCTCTAAACTCATCTACTTGTAATAATAATGACTTTCTCAATTTCTCAATTGAATTTTCTCATTAATTTTAAAAATTTTGGTCCACTGAGGCACTGGTATAGATGCTTTACCTTTGGCGACATTTAAATATTCACATTCATTGACATCATTCACCCTACATATCCGCACGATACGATACTGACATGATCTGAGCAGGCAGCTACACCACTGGAAAGTGGACAGTGTTGCCGCATCAGCACAGGTGCTCCCGTGCCTCCAGGTGCCGATGCTGTTGTTCAGCTGGAAGACACCAGACTCGTCAAAGCTGGTTATTTATTTATTATCTCATTTTTGTTCATTTTTGTAATTCAGTTATTATGTGAAACTGAGTCACAGATGAGTAGTAGTTATCTGATATGTGCATTTAAATTGTAGTTTTGGTAAGTGTATCTCAATACTCTGGGTCGGCGTTTTCTGCACTTTTTAGCTAAACTTTAATTCTCGCAGTTTATTAGATACACAGACAAGATAAAACAAATGTTTATTTACATAATAATATCAATTTTTTTTATATCGATCAGTACATACAGATTATTTCCTCTACCAAACATTCGCACATCCACACGCCCTCACACAAACATTCACACACAAACACGCACATATATGATTATAATCTAGTCATCTTTGTTTTATCTCCTAAATGTGATTTATTCCTATACCGTATTTCCTTTTTTTAGTTTACACTTTTCGATTTGCTGTCCGAATTTTTTTTTTTTTTTTGTTTTTACCGAGAAATGTATATTTATACATGTAGGTACATGCATGAATACATACATACGCACCTTCATTCTTTCACTTCATCTTTTCATAATTCAAGTGCGTAATTTTTTTTGTTCAATAAATTTGCGACGTATTTAATAGTTGAATGGAAGTGGAATATTTTCTCAAGAAAAATTTTAACGTTACGTTGGGTTTGCTGATGCTATTTAAGTTGTTCGCCTTCTTTACCCTTGTGAACTTGACGTTCAATTTTATTTTGCTTGATGACTCCTTTTTAATATTACGTAGATAATATGTTTTTGGTTGCACTCTTTATTAAAAAATGAATATCACGCGACAGATGAAGAAGGGAAAATAGAGTTGGAGGTTGAGTTTTTATGCAAGGAAACAATAAGTCCTGGTCAAGACATCAGGTTTGCAGTGGCTTTGCAATGTTTTTTTTCTATTCTATTTTTTGTTTTTTAAATTTCAGTTTTTTCTTCATTGGTAGTTTCAGAACTTGCAATATACATTACATTATTTGCATCAATTAAGAATGTTGTTATACATTTCCAATTAACAAATTATCTCGAATATTTTCGCAATGATGATGGTGATTATTTTTAGCAAATAACTTAATTGGTATGAATGAAAGGGAAAACTGGTAGATAGTTATTGATGGCACCACCAGGCCTCTTGCAAGTGACGTTAAGATGGGTGAGTGCATATTGATGGCGGGAATGAGAGTTGGTTGTGCCGAGGTTGGTCTGTTGGCCTCAGTTGGCAACATCAGCATCCAGTGCTACAAACTTCCAAGCGTTGGAGTCATGTCAACTGGAAACGAGGTGAGTAACAAATTGCTGTGGATGTTTAAATTAAGATGATTGAGAAATGCTCTTAGGCTTCATTGCACTTTGTTGGCCTCTTTAGTTAATTTAAAATGCTTTGTTGATGTTTTGATGGTTTGGTTAAAACGTTTTTAACACAGGTTTAACTTAGTTTTTTTAATTTTCACACGTTCACATTTTAAATACATTTTGTTCTCGTTTGTTCACCATGTTGTTTACACAAAAATATTTAACGAATAATTTTTGATTTTAAGACTAGCTCTCTCGTTATATTTGAATTAATTTTTTTTGATAAACTGTCGATGTACATTTTTGTGTCGAAACCTTTTTATTATACAATCTTGATTAGATTAGACGAATATAAAAAAAAATTGTTGTATTAAACAGAGCTTCTAAAATTAATGAACTAACCAGAAATATGTAGCAGTTAAACAAACAGAAAATGTTTTTTATCGATAATGTGTCTATTGATTTGCTAATTCATTCTTAACAAAGATGAAATCTTCAACGTATAAACTAATCGTCGGTTTATCAACCAATAATTTTTTAACCATTTTGTATCCTTTACTTTCCATTACGTCAAGATATTCACTGTATTTGCCATGCTTATATTCCACTGCTAGCGTTTTTATGTCAATTTTATCAAATGGGATTGTCTTCAGTACTGGTACTTCTGCTCCTTCCACGTCCAAACTGAAAAAGTCGACAGATGTTCTTTCAATAGCAAGTAACATGGATTCTAATGGGAAACAAGGCACTTCAATAATGAACTTCTCATTGGATTTGTCATTTCGTATTTTGCCATGACCTCCACTACTTTCTTTAAATCTCAGCTGAAAATAAAATAAAATAAAATAAAAATTATATCAATGTTATATTATTTGTATGTAGACTGTCATTAGATATTAAAAATAATAATAATCATTGTAATTATTATTATTTAATTTTGATTTGAGATAATGCACGGAGAAGACTTATGGCTGCATGCAGTTAGACATGCGAATAAATTTCCATACAACGAAAATTATTTCTCAATGACGAACAAAATTTATAAAAGTTAAAAAAATTATCCGACTAGCAAACATTCTAGGAATTGATATGAGCCGTGTTTTTGTATTTTTTTAATTTCCTAGAACGGTATTTAATTTTTCTTGCCCTAGTATTTTAGTAATGTTTGCGAATTCTACCTCAATTAATTCCGTTGGAATCGGAATCATTGTTGCATTGAACAAAAAATGAATTTCACTTCTAAAATTTCAATTTTTACAATTATACCATGTATTATTACTTTCTGTTATCAAAATAAATGATTAGAAGGTTGTTTTTTATAAATATATAGCACATAAACACTTTTTCAGCAATGTAGAATTTTTCCCGATCTATAAAACGAAATTTCTATATAACGAATTTTTTTCCTAGGCCATAAAATTCGTTATACGGAGGTCCTACTGTGTTTCAAAGCAAGAGGAAGCATATTTGGTTTACACCCAATCTCATTCATTTTATTGTCAATCACTTGTTTAATAAGATGCCTCTATGGTGGTCCAGTAAAAATGACGACGATTTTATAAACCCTCGCTATACAAGATATTCATAAGAAAAATCTTTTCCAATTTGAATAGAGTTTAAGAGATAGTTTAAAATTTTCAGCTATAATAAGTATATGTGTAAGCACAGTTGCTCTCAAAAGAACCTATCTTCGGTTCAAGAAAGTTATGTTGATTTTGTTTCTATCTAAATTGTATTAGTTTGATTGGATGGTAAAAAACTTGCAAAATTATTTGTTACATTATTATGCATTTTAATGTTTTAACAAGGTTATTTTGTTATTTATTATTATTTAAAAATTTAAAATGACAAACTCACGTTTGTGACATAATTTGTAGGACTTAAACATGCATTTATTGCCCAGCTGTTTCTGTTTTTACCGATTAGTTGAGTGTAAAAATAAGGATCTGGTTCAATTAGCAAACCAGTCCATTGTTTTTCTACTTCCAAAAAAATTGTGTTGGATGAACGTTCTCCATCTAATGCACCCGCTTCAACAAAAAATCCTGCTTTCTAAGATAAATTAATAGCTTTCATTAAAACATTGAAAGTAAAAAATTTTACTTACTAAGAGAAAGTTAAGTGGATTTACCTTGTTCAATATTTTATCAACTTCTTCAGCTTGTGGAGTTTTGATGAGACTTCTAGACATTTTGACCAGTTTGTTATCACTTGGTGCTTGTATAATAGTTTTAAGGAATGCAATTAATTCCGTATTATTTGACTCAGTTTTTTTGGAGCTGAATTTGTAAAACGAATTTTTAATTTCTTGAGGAAAACTTTGAAAACCCAAAATGTGTGGAATCACTGATGTAAAAAAAATTTCTTTTCTGCATGAATAATCGTGAAGCGTCGGGATGTACACGTACAAAAAACAAAATATCGAACTTGCTACAAATATTGCCGTACATATTTTCGTGTTGATACACAAATTTAATTGCATAACTAAGGCGAATAATATATGATGACGATTCAAATGTTGTACTGGGAAGTTAATGGCAGTCGTCAATTATTTCCGGTTGATGATCGTGAGCAACGCACAGAAAGAATTGCACACAATGTGTACACAATTAGCCGATTTTTTATTTGTTATAATTAATTATTTTCAGTGTTATTTCATCACATATAAACAACGTATTTAATACAAAAATGCATATGTTGCTCTTTAATGCCGCGACGTTGAATGCGCTCCATGCGAGCTATTTAATGCCAATTGAATGTCAATGATGTGTTCGATAGTGTGCCTGTATGCATGCGTATTATATTCTGTATACATACATATTGCTGCTATATACATACACGCACACATATGTGTGTGTTCAGTGTGGATGCATGGGCTATGCTTTGAATGTTTGTACTGTATGTATCGTTTTTTTTTGCGTTGTGCAGAAATACGAATGAATCATACACACGATGCGATTTACAGGTCTAAGAAATTTGTTGCAATAACTAATCTTCGAATGAATGAATGAATGAATGAATGAATGAATGAATGAATGAATGAATGAATGAATGAACGAACGAGTGAACGTTTGTTTAAAAACTTGTTACAATGCAATTATCCCAAGATATGTCTGCCTGTTCTCTGAGTCTCTGTGTATGTGTATTAAGTGATGCTTGCTAAACAAAAATCTAACGTTACGTTCCAATGCACGCAATTCAATGTTGGTACGTCCCATTCCGATTGTTGCCTAGCCCTCACATGTAAGAACTGAGTCTTGCATAGGTTCATCCATTTGTTAATTTTTAGGAGACAAGGTGTAAATTCGTTAACAAATGAACAAAACTTAAAAGAGCGGAATTCGCAATAACTTAAAAGTTGCCCGCGAACGCGTCATATTTAAAACCGTACAATATTTTTTGGCATTTTTTCAAATTATTTCATTTGCAACGGAAGTGCGTAAATGTTTTTCATCTTTACGTAAATTGTAAAAAAGGTTTCATCACACGTAGTACCTAAATCGTTGTACCTGAATTCTAGGTTATATTGAACATGTCTTGTTTGATGATTGCTGAAATATTATTGAAAAAATTGTTTTTCAAGTAATTCAACCACATCTTAAAATGTCTGTAAAAAAAACTCTCTAAAGCTGTTAGAACCGGAAAGTCATTTGAAAGCAGGCAAGATAAGAGACAGCAACCGACCGATGTTGCTGGCATGTCTGAGAGAACAGGGATTCCACGGCACAGATCTGGGCGTTGCTGATGACAAGTCAGTCTTTATGCAGTTATTTACTGGTTTATTTATTTACTCGTTTGTTTGTTTTATGTTTCGTTTGGTTCAGATTATGTAGAATTTTCATATTCAGAAATAGATAGTTTTAATTCAATTTTTTCGACGAATTGTTTTTCAAACTTTAAATTTTTAGAAATGATGAGAATAAGTTTGGTGTCGTAAGAATTCGCTAACACACGTTTGGAGCTCCGTTGCGATTTGGAAACTTTAGGCAAACTTGCATCGTTTAGTTTCATTACTGCTATTATTATTATTATGTCATTCACTTTATTGACACTCCTCAGAGGATTGTACTGTGATTAAATGCTTTGTTGAACAAATAACTTTATAACATTTTTCTGAAATCTTTTTCTGGAACAATTTGCTTCAATCTTGTTGGAAGACCATTCCATACCTTGGCCAGATCTGTCACCCAGTTTTTTCCTGGTCCTAGGAATTACCATCATTTCTGGCGAAACCGAACGCAATGCATGTCCCACATAAATTTCAAAACCTCCTTCAGATATTTTGGGCCACCACCATGTACGCAACCATGAGCCACCACGGCAATCTTAAATCTTATCCATTCCCTGATCGGTAGCCAGTGGAGACTCTCCAACCACTTTGTTTCTTCCATATAGGTAGAATAGCCTACTGGTATTGATGCATACCTATTTCCGTTGTACAACAATACTGCCTTCAAACAAGTTTTTGACGAGTCGATGAACAGTCTCCATTCTTCAACAATATGTTTAATCCCAAAACTCGACATAAGACCATCCACATCTGTACAGTAGCAAATATTATCACTCATTTTAAAGTATTGAACAAGAGTTTTATGCCTGTGACAAAAGTTCGCTGTTGCTGTACTAGGTGCAAGTAAGTTAAATTCCTTCAAACGTGAACCAAGCAGCTCTGCTTGCGCTTTTGTCAGTGCTAGATCTCTTACAAGATCACAAAGTTCAGCATAATTAATCAAATGATGTTCTTCTGGGGCAGCATTGTAGTCAGAGTCTGAATCACTTGCAGAGAACGAAATATCACTTTTTTCATGTATATCTTCATCAATTGTAAATGATGCAAGCGTTTGTGGTATTGGGCAAGCCACGGGATCATGTGGAATTGGTTTTGAAGCAGACAGAACGTTTGGGTATTCAACGCATAAACGATTCTTGTGTTTAATTCCACTGATCTTTGCCAAACAGAAATAACAATCTGTTAAGTGATTGCTTTGTTCCCGCTATATCATAGGAACTCCAAATGTCATGTGATTGTTTTTCTTTGCATTCCTTATCCAACCACGCAGGCTGCATGAGCAAGTCAAACAAATAAACTTTGGAGCCCAAGACTTACCACTATCTACCTTTGAATATATATATATATTTTTACAATATTCTATAAATTCTACCGAATGTTTGGCGTATATATATATATATATATATGTTTATATATATATATATATATATATATATATATATATATATATATATATATATTAATTAATTAATAATAACTTATTCATTCATTCAATTCATTTATTTTTTTATAGTTTATATAACAGTTAAAATATTTATTAATGCGATTAATTGATTGTATTTTAAAATGTTTTTCAAAGAGCTGATAGTTTATTGAATCATTTCAAGATGGCTCTAGAGACTGTTGACGTCATCATCACTACAGGAGGGGTGTCTATGGGGGAAAAGGTACGGTCACATATATATAGTGTTATATTATGTGTTACGTGGTAGAGTCACATATATAGCGTTATATCTAGTTTTTTTAACCGATGTTGTAATACACGAACCTTATAAACTTGTTTCCATGAAGGACCTTGTGAAAGATGTGTTGGTTCATGATCTTGGAGCAGTTATTCACTTTGGTAGAGTTTTCATGAAGCCAGGGTTGGTTGGCGCGTTTGCTTAATTTTAATGCTATCGTCTGTTTTTTCTTTTTTTTCTTAGGTGTGTTTTGTTATTAAAATTATGTTGAAAACTTTGAATACTGCAATTTTTTACGTTTTTTTAATATTAAGATTTGTTGCTCAAAAAGCATAATATATTTTAGAATAAAATTTAACTAAAATTGTAACCATCGTATTTTATTTTTTCTTTGTTTATTGTTATTTGAGTTGACAATTAATATTTAATTTCTAACCAGCAAGCCAACCACTTTTGCCACTTTATTCTACAAAGATAAGAAGAAATATATATTTGGACTCCCCGGCAACCCCGTCTCAGCTATCGTTACCTTTCATTTGTTTGCGCTACCTGCTCTCAGGAAAATGAGTGGAGACCCAAAACCAGAACCAACTGTCGTTTTAGCAAGAGTAAGTCTAAATTCTTTGTGATATTTTATAGACATCAGACAGTTTGGCTCGTTAAAAATACGTATATGACTGCCATCTATTGCCATCGACACATGTATTTTGAACTAAATAGTAAGAAGGGTTTTCAGTTGATTAAATATATTTGTTAGTTGTTGAAAGCCCCATTCAACAAACATGTAACCTACAATGCAGATAACTGAATCATTGAGACTGGACCCAAGACCCGAATACCACAGATGTTCTCTCAGCTGGTTCAAAACAGTTGATGGCATTCCTATAGCAACCAGCACTGGAAACCAACTGAGTAGCAGACTGCTCAGCATGTCGTCGGCCACTGGAATGCTTCGACTTCCGGCAGCCACTGCTTCCGGGGAAGATAGATTCGTGTCAATTCTCGAAAAAGATAGTTTGGTCGATTGCATTCTCTTCCAAAAAATGATATAAACCAATAATAATGGGATATTTGATAATTAGATTGAAATAATTAATATTTTGCCTTTGCTTCTCTCCTGAGCAGTCAGACAATATGTTCTATGGCTGCGTCATCGTTCGTTCGAATATTTTTCAACCTGTTTGGATATTTGAGTTGTGAAAACAATACGTATAATCTTATCATGTTTACATAAAATATACTTTCACATATCTATCTTTTTCAGGATTGAAGTCATCTCATTTGTCATGGGTTATCACTACGGCATTTATTAGGTTTTTAAGTTTCAGATTTTTGATAGGAAGCCTCCCAACTAAAAACATCAATCGATAGTATCTCTTGTTTATTGAATTTTTTTCTTAAAAATTTATTTGTTTGTTTACATACTTAGGCTGTCATAATTTTGGTTGTTATAAAAAGTTAACGTGCCATTGTATATTCGATTTAAAGTTTAAATGTTATTACATGATTCGTGTGCACGCTTGATAGAATATTTTTATTATTACATCAACGTCACTATATTATTATTGATGTACAGATGGAACTTTTAATGTGCAGCTTCCTTTTTAGCGATTTTGATGTCAAACGCTTTGATATGTACGTTTTAAACTTTAAAGCAAAACACCCCTCTCGCTCATTCTGTTTTTGTTATGTGCAAGAACATATTTATTTCCAATTATTTGATGATATTTTTGGTAAAAATTTAACAGTTATGTATTTACGGTTTTGTTTAGTCAATCGAGAAATTTTTTGTTTGTTTAGCGATGTATTGGTAGTCATTTCTTAACGTGCAGTTGGGCATGTGGTACCAGCGATTTCCTTTATATTCGATCACAGGACTTCTTTGAATATTTATGCTGAAATCTATTTCATGCCTTGAACATTATCTACAAATAGCATCATTCGTTGCAATAACAACTGGTTTATTTACATTTTCTTTGGCTTAATGGTTTAATCATAATTTTATTTTTTAAAATAATGACTATATAATTTTATTGATTTTAAAAACTTCACACGAGAAATGATGTTTCAACAAATATCATATAGAACAGATGTTTCAATTTATGTTTGCTATTGATTTGTGTGTTTGATCAATTTCAATTTTGTTAGTTTTTCAAATTATGCCTCACCCGCGTTATAAATGGGATTCTTTTTTCTAAAAAATGTATGTATGTACTGGTCGTTAGTTTCAATACGATGATTGTTTATGTTGCGTGAGAGATTTATTTTCCTTTCTGTTTTTATTTCTGTTAGGTACATTATTTTTTTCTAACGAAAACGCTTAACAATCATTAGCAAGATTTGCTTTGTTATTGCTTTCAAGAAACTATCTTCTATTTTTTCATTTCAAATATTCATGAGTCGCATATGTTCCGACCAAATTGTTGAGATATGTAAGAGTTTATTATTCTATTTTTTAATTATACAACAGTATTAAATTTTGGAAAAAGTTTTCAATTGTTACACCTTTCATTTTACACTTCCTGTTGCAATTCTTTACTCAACCCATTTGTTACATCCATCACTCCATCTAGGATTCTTTACGTGTTGAAATGACCACACTATCATTTATTAACATTTTTTTAAACCGATTATAACGTGTAATTTTAAACACACTTGTTCTATCATGTTTAAATGTTCTATCATGCTTAAAATAAATAAAAATTTTGATTTTGAACTCAAGAAACTTGATAATGATTTATGATCTACCGTTAGAAAAATTGAAAAATTAAACAGGAAACTAACTAACGCGGAACATTCTATGATTGTGTATATATATTTATTCATATCTAGTTTCAATGGTTGTGACCAGACAGCAATTTATTCGGCATGGTAGGTTGCCCAGCGCTCAAAAGTTCAATGTTTTAAGGTCGTCTTTCAAACAGAAGTTTGAGTGTTGCTCAATCACGTTAAAGACAATTTTTATTTAAATGTTGTGTGGTGTTGAATGAAGATTTATTTTTGTCAATTTGCTATATAACGTGAACATTGCCAAAATATTCAAATTATTTTCAGTGAACTTATTTTTCTCTTTTGAACATGAATGATTTTGGCTAATTATTTGAATTATTTGATCTAATGAATACGGTTTTTAAAAAAATGAGGTGGTTCATTTAAATGTGAAAAAATAATATGGAAATGTGATATTTTGTTTTATTATCCGCCACTTCCTGTTTCTCGGTCAATAATTTAACGCTGATTATATTTTTTATTGTTTATATTTTTAATATTTTCTTTCCAATCGCTCTCTTCAGTCAGTCTGCAATTGTGGCCTTCCTAATTACTCGCTGAATCGTCTTTAATTTAAAGACCCCTGTTTTCTCTAAACCCTTATTATTCTTCAAAAAATCAGAATCTGACAAAGGTTTTATTCTTTATGTTTTAACGATCAACAAATAAGTTTGTATTTTGTTTATATGATAGACTCTCTTAACTAATATATAGGAGAATATTAATGGGTGAAAAAGTCATGGGAATTGAGATACCTAAGCTAACTAAACTAGCGAGCATACGGTGACATCTCATTATTAAACCGTTAGCTATAAGTCATGGTCCCTTTGCTAATCTGTCATGAGACATTAAAAAAATAAGATTACGCAATGCTAATTCTAAGCATATTACAATAAAATAAACTTATAAAGAATAAAATGAAAATTCTAAGTATATGACAATGTATACAGAATAAATTTAATCTACACAAAAAAGCCTGCTGCTTCATCATTGATTAAAAGTGAAGTTAACGTTGGAAATAGATATTAGTGGCGAGCGATAATAATAATAATATAAACAAGTGCTCTGGGTTACCGTTAATGATTGAATTACTTTGTTTAATACCTGATTATATCACTATATTAGAATCAAAATAATTATTAAAGTTGATTGATAAGATTTAAATAATTTAAAACATCTTAATCACAATGTTTGAGATTAAGACCGTGAGAGGTGCCAAGCGATTTAGATTTTTTTTCGTCACAACCTCCATGCTGATTTTTTTCAGTAAACCGATCTACGACATTTTTATCTACCCGACCTATCGATATTGTAAGAAACAACAAAGTAAGGATGTTGTTGTTTAATTCGCTTGGTAATTGTCGATATTTGTTTCATTGCACATAGACATTTGGATTGCCTAATAAAAAACTCCAAGTGATTAAACTCCAAGTTTAAACTCCAAAACTCCAAGTTTTTATTATTATTATTATTTTTTCCTTGTTAATCATTAACATTTTATTAAATTTTAAAAAAGGTTAAACGTTAAGGTTAAAGAAACATAGAAAAGGTTAACTTAAAATTTAGGCTATTTATTAAATTTAGCTAACTAATCTCAAACTGCTAACTGTACAGTTAGTACAGTACAAGAATTAGCGACTTAAAATTACATTACATTACAATACATATTACAATCACTAGCCTCTATTAAGTCCTAAGCAATCATACTACATTATAATTTTTATAATAAATAAATAGATAAAATAAATGTGATATAACTTGTAATTTTCTGATTGTGATGCTAGTTCCTTGTATGTAATTTATTGTTGATATAAACATCATATATTTATTATGATGATATGATATGATATCCTGATCATATGCATATCATCACACTTGCATGACAGTAGTTTAAAACTGTAAGATTTAGATCACTACTAAAGAAGATTTTTCATTGGAAAATTAGTTTTTACTAGGAATTATAAAGAAATAGTGAAATTCCAGGTTTCATAAGTCTGTATTTTTTCATATTTTACTCAATTAACAGTTTAACACAGACTTTATATTTCTAGTTTTATAATGCTCCAGCTGCAGAGTTTATTCAGTGGATAAAATCATTTATTTTATAATATATTCAAACTTATTTTGTATTCATCAGTTTTAGATATTTCAGTTGCTCTTACTAAGGGTAGGTGTTGACCATGACATTGCACTCTATTTATAACTGCAGAATGGAGATTAGAATTTTATACTTATGTAAATGTTTTTTAAAAAATTATTAGTACAATTTAAAGTGATTGAATTTCACTCTTTTTTGGTTTCTATTTTATTTTTTAAAAATTATTTTAAATTTAATAATCAAAAATATTACCTCAAAATTCGACACATGTTTTAGAAAAGAATAGCAAGTGGAATTGTTTTCATTATACCTTTTAATCTATCATATTTTTGTCTGTAAAATTAATTTTTTTGAAAGGTTATGTTTTTATTTAAACAAATGATTATTTTGTTAAGGAAACTGGAATGCAAGTTCACCTCTGAATGATCCAAAAATTGAGACAGAAAATGCAGAAAAATGAGTCAACATTTATTTTTCGTTTTTTTTATTTGAATTTTTTGTGATGATCAAATTAAAAAAATTAACTTTTCTACTGCGTTTTTTTCTTTACAACATCCGTATTAGTGTAATTATTTAAACTTCGAAAAACAAATAAGTGTAGTCAAATTATTTACTACCAATCACATTAGAACTGATCACAGTCCAAAAGTTGCAAGCATTCACTTCTAGCAGTTTACACGCCAGTGGTCATTAATTTTTTTTGTTTCGTATATTTATGCTCTTTCAAGGGTTCCTACTTCTTAGGATGACGACTGTCAGACTTAGCATTTGATTTTCTTATCTGGAAATATTCAATGGATGCCTTGCTATATTACAAATAACTTCGCTGGTTACCGTTTGAATATATCATTTAATTCAAATTAGCTCTAGCTAACTAACCAGAAACTCAGCAATCTCAATAGTGTCGACAGTAAAGTTTTAAAAGGGCGTTTGTAATACGTTTCTTCAACAATATGAACCACATTTAGCGCATTTTTAATAACTTAGTAACGACTATAACGTGCCCTGTGACCGATCTTTTTTTAGATAAGCTAGCAAAAAAAGATGGCCAAACCAAATTTTAGACTGACCCTGAAAATTACAGTAGTTGTCGTTTTTTTTGTTACCAAGTCATCAATGGATGTTGGATTTCACATAAGAAGTTGACGTTTACAGGCAATGGATTACGAATGGTAATTAAAATAA